TAGTGATGATAAAGACGATGACGATGATGTTGATCATGGTCATGATGATGAGGATGAAGATGATGGTGATGATGATGGTGATGATGATGACGATGAAAATAAGCATGGTAACGATGGTGTTGGCGAGGATGACGAGGAAGTGCGCACGCGCAGGCATTCGATATTTCGGTGTGCAGCGTGCGAAAACGTGTGCGTCTGGCGTCCATTGTATTGTTTGACAGAGTTGGCAGATGAGCGACACTTGTTGGATGTTTTCGACATGCGAGCTCGTGTGGCTCACATGCTTTTCATCTGACGGATTTGCTGAAGCAACATGGGGAGTTGCCATGGTCGTATAGGTGTGCACGCGCAGAGTATTGGTAGTTTTGTGTTGAAACATCTGGCTTTGGTAACTCCCAAATAGCCATGTCTTGACACGCTCAGAGAACCAATGGTTTGATTGCTCTCAACATGCGCACGCGGCGGCGAGCGCATGGGCCCCGCGTAGTTGCATTGTCTCTTTTACCGTATTGATTTGCAATGGATGGTTACAAACGCACTTCTAAGATCAACGCGTGTGCATCGCAGGAGATTTTCTGACAGGGATGCAGAGGGGAGTCCAATAATGCCTGGGATTATAGCATGTGGTAATTAGGGTGAACGACGTGCAGACAAGTATGAAATTGTATACAGAGGGTAACGGATTACCCCAGCGGCGGGATAGGATCAGAGCCGCAGTCATGGAATAATAGGAACCTGTGTGGTGCAAGCTACGCGTGCATCTTGAAACTCGGCCACGCGCAGAGGGGGGTAGGGGGAGGGGGGAAGGCTTCTTGGAGGCACTCTTGCTTCGTAGAAAGCGCGGGCCTTGTCTGCAGATGTCAGGGCAGCGCCTTCTGAGAAGCAGCCTTCTTCCAAGAAGCCTTCCCCCCTCCCCAATACCCTCCCCTGCGCGCCGCCAGGAGACGCCCGAAGGCACACGAGGCGACCACGTGGCCGCCATGGTGGAACACCTGCCCGAAACAAGAAGCAGAAAAGAGCCAGCCAGCGCGCGAGGTGGCGGGGCGGGGAGGAGGAGGAGGAGAGGAGGAGGAGGAGGAGGAAAGGAGGAAAAGGAGGAGGAGGAGGGAGGAGGAGGAGGAGGAGGGGGAGGAGGAGGAGGAGGAGGAGGAGGAGGAGGAGAGGAGGAGGAGGAGGAGGAGGAGGAGGACGCGAGGTGGCCGGGCTGCGGCCACGGGCGAAAAAGAAAAACACGACACACCCAGCTCTCACTCGCGCGCCGGGCGGCCAAGCGCGGCCAGAGGCCGCCCTCCGAGGAGCGAAGGTGTTCTCAGGCTGGCCAGGGCACGGGGCGACCACGAGGCGGCCACGGGCCGGCCACGGGGCGAGAGCCCAGGAATATCAGCGGCACCGCAACGGGTACTCACTAACGGGTACTTTGGAGATGTGCCGAAAGTTGCCGCTTTAGGGCCTCTTTTCAGAGCCCCGAGTCATCAGGGGTAACTCGGGTCAGGGTTAACTCGGGTTCGTTTTTCGGGAATCCCAGCCCGAGTTATCCCGGACCCGAGTTACCCCGGATATTTCGGGCGTCCAGAGCCCCGAATCATCAGGGTAACTCGGGTCAGGGCTAACTCGGGTTCGTTTTTCGGGAACTCAAACCCGAGTTACCCCGGACCCGAGTTACCCTGGATAACTCGGGCGTCCAATCTTTCTGGCATTGCAGCGTTGCCCACATCGGGGAGGGTTGGATTCGCCGGCGGCCCACTGGCCAAAGTACCCATTAGTGGAGTCCCCGTTAGTGGCGCGCGGGGCGCGCCAGGGGCGGCGCCGGAGGCGCCGCCAAGGAGGTCCAGCGCCGATCCGAGCAATCCGCGCGGACCTCCGAGTTTCTATGTGTATGTCATTGCACGTTCCCCTAAGGGAACCCACCCACTGACAGCCACGTCAGAGACCTGAAGTGCAAACACCGTGTTGGGAATGCAGCTCAGGTCCCCCCCTTGCACCCTCCACTCCCCAGGTATCGAATTTTGGATCACGCGCCGCGCTGGTTGAACTTGGAGCGCTGGAGTTCCCAGCGGTCGCGGACGAATCCTGCTCTGACAGTCGGCGACAGCATTCGCAATGACTAAAGGGTGAAGTCACTTTGGTCGAGGACCAAGCATGCTGGAGCGCACGCGCGTACGCAGTATTCGGGGTCTTGCCAGAGGGAATGGGAAGATGCGGAGAAGATTGGAGAAGGGGTGGAGAGGGAGGAGGGAGGCAGGAGGGAGGAGGGCCTCGCGGTGGTTTGACCCCCAGCGGTCGCAGACTGGATTTTGCTGGAGCTCGCACTGGCTCTGCACGCAGCGACTGAATTCCCAGTGACACGTGCCGGAACACCTGCTGGTATCGGTTGAGGACTCGCCTCCTGCGTCCAAAGGCCACGCGGAGGCCTCCAGAGGCCCCAAGCGAGCATGGGCCACCGCGCCGGCGACGACGGCGACGGCGGCGGCGGCGGCGGCGGCGACGCGCGCGCGCCGAGGGAGCTGCGGGTCGCGCGCGCGGCGGGCTTCTCTGCCGTCAGGTTCTTCCTGCACGAGGCCAGCCCCTCCATGGCTCCCGTCGTCGTCGTCGCCGTCGTCGTCGTCGTCGTCGTCGTCGTCGTCGTCGTCGTCGTCGTCGTCGTCGTCGTCGTCGTCGTCGTCTCCCTCCTGTTCGAAGAGGGCGCTCACACTTCCCGGGCTGCTGACGTAAGTGCTGCCGAGGGGGCTGCTGCCACGACCGTGCTGACTATGATGAGCATGGAGGCCGGAGGATCAGGCGGCGCCTGCCGCGTGCCCTAAGAGGTATCTTGCCTCATCGGTTCGGCGGAGGCTTCTTCCCGACTCTCCGGCAGCAACACAATGTTTGCACCATGTCCCGTATCCCATGTTCTCGGCACATTCGCACGCACATGCGTTTCCATTGGGACCCACTGCGACCGCATCTACATATATCCAGTTGCTTGCGGTTAACCTCGCAGTAGTGCCTGTGCAACAGCGTAGAAGGAAGAAGGTTGACGTAGGATCAGCGGAATTCCGACGAGTAGTCTGCATTGGGGCGGGTCATGATCCCGACCTTGTCGTCGTCCGCGCGGTAGGGAGGAGAAGGAGGGGGAGGAGGAGGAGGAGGAGGAGGAGGAGGAGGAGGAGGAGGAGGAGGAGGAGGAGAAGGAGGAGAAGGAGGAGAAGGAGGACGAGAAGGAGGAGGAGGGAGGAAGAGGAGGAGGAGGAGGAGGAGAGGGAGAGTATGAGGGTGAGTAAGGCGGAGAAGGCTTCTCGGGGCCTTCTTGGGGCCTCAGGGGGACCTCCTGGGAGCTTCCTGAAAGCTTCTTGGAGGCATCTTGGGGTCCTCTTTGGGGCCTTTTGGGGCCCCTTGGGCAGTCTTAGGGGATGTTTGGCCCGTCTGGCGCCTATGGAGGCCGCCTTGGGGGCCTCTCTGCGCTGTGTTGGTGCGCTCGTGATGCGGTTCACGGCCGTCTTGGGGCTCTCTCTTGGGAGCCTTTTGGTGGTCGATCTTTGGATCCTTGCGGGCCAACCTGCGGCCCGAGGCGTCGTGGGCCGTGTTGGGCGTTTCGGGACCCGAGCAAGCGAGAGCGTCAAAGTCTCATAGCATCCTGCGGGATACGAATGGTGTTGGCCTCCTCGTGCTTTCGGGGAGGGCCTCGTGGAGGCCTGGGAGCCGTTTGAGCCGTCGTGGGCCATCTTGGTGCCATCTTGGCTGCATTGACAGCCGTGCTGAACGCCATGAGGATCCCAGAACGCATCCGTAGCCATTTTGGCTCAAGGCCCGCTCGCCGCGATGCTGGCAGCGGCCGTCCTGCTGCGCCTGGCAGCGCCGACGGCAGGCCCCGGCCTGGCGCTCCAGACCTCGCTGGCCCCCAGCAGGCGGGAGTTTGTCTCTAGCTCGCCGGAGAACAAATGAGTACCAGGACTTCGCCTTCGAGCCCGGCCATGCTGGCTGCTGGCAGGGGACACGGCTGTCTTTCGCGCGCTGCTGCAACACCAGCTTTCGCAGGCTCGGCATGGGCGATCGGAGCTGCTGGCGGGGGCGCCCGGATCTGTCCTTCGCCAGCTGCTGCACTGGGACCTCGCTGCCCGTGTCCCAGGTCCCGCGGCGCGGAAGGGTGGTCGCCACCCTGACAACGACGCCGTACCGGTTGTACAAGCTGGACCTGCCTTTGCAGTCACTCGCGCACCAGACGCACAGACTCAACGCCATATACTTGGTCCTGCCATACACATTCCTGCGGGACTGGTTTTGGTACGACCACCCGTGGCGGTACCAGATGGTTGCCCCAGACCAAAATCCGCATCGTGCGGTGCGAGCAAGACTTCAAGCCGCAGACTGCCGTCCCTTGTATTCTTAAGCATGAGACTGATCCCAGCACCCGCATCTTGGTTGTGGACGATGGCATCGTATACCATCCAATGTTGGCCGAGCGTCTACTGGCGCAGAGCGAGGCACATCCAGGCGCTATGATCGGAGCCATGTGTTACTATCGGCCAGGAGTCTGGTGCGAGGAGCACGATGAGCACCGGGATCTGCATTCTCCCCAATTCGCGTACGGGATACTCTTTCAGCGACGCTTCTTCGACGCTGGGATCTTCAACTACGGCACCGCGACACACGCACTGGACAAGCAGCGCCCAGACTTGGAGAGCCGCTTCCAGCTCACAGTGACGTCTTGCATGATCCAGGACAACCTGTGGCACGAGGCCCACCTCGCCAGGAAGGGCATTCCCCGCGCGTTCCTCAAGACGCACACGGGGGCCAAGCCGACCTGGGACCTCGCCTTCGAGCACGGCGCCCTCAACGCGAGATTCCAGGGCACCTGCCACCATTCCGCCAGCGACCCCAAGACCATCGACGAGGCACAGGTCCTCTGCGCCCGTGCCCTCACGGCGCTGTGGGGGCGCTCGCTCTGGGCGGCGCGCCCGCACTGCGTGGCTGTGGGCCTGCTGCCCAGGCCGCCCAGCGCGGCAGGCGTCGCGCGTCTGCTGGCCCGCCTGCCCTGGTGGGACTACGACTCCGCCGTTTGACAGGACCCTGTCAGATTGGCGGCGGCGCCTCGTCGCACACGGAGGCCTGCGCGACCGCGTCTTCTACCTTCGCCGGTTCGGCGACGGGGGCTTCGACTCGGAGCTCTTCGACCGCGAGGCGTTCGAGCCCCCGCGCCTCAGGCTGAGCGTCCAGTCAGAGCTCCGCGGCTTCGCACCCTCTGCGGCGGTGGATGGCCACGAAGGCGCGGGCGCAGTGCGGCCTATCTTGGATTTGGTGGAGCTGTGCCCCGCCGACGCCGAGCCCGTGGTCGCGCCCGATGCCCCGCGCGAGTGCCAGGACCTCCAGGCGCGCACCGCTCGGGGCCTGTGCGGCCGCGGCGGGGCAGAGCCGCAGCTGAAGGATGTGCCGGCGGGTGGGTTCGCGGCGGTGAGGTCCTGCGTCGAGGAAAGGTTAGGGGCCCCACCGGGGACCTTCAACGAAGGGTGCCTGCCGGGCTGGGTTCTGCGGAACAGATCGTGGATGTCCACCGGGAGCGCAGGCTGCTTGCCGCAGATCGCAGCCTGCCGCGAGGCGGTCCGAGTCTGCCAGACCCTCGGCATGGGGATGTGCGCCAGCACGCGCGAGCTGCAGCGCTGCTGCAGCGAGGGGCGCCACACCAACCCCGAGCCGTGGCTGCGCAGCCCAGCGGTGGAGGCGTGCACACGGCGCGGAAGGGTCGGCGGCCGAGGGCGCGCCCGGGCGGGGGCCGGCGGGCGACGAAGTGCCGCCATGGGGTTCCCGGGGCCCGCGCCGGGAGAGCGGAGGTCCACGATGGAGCTCTTCCTGTCTCGGCACGAGGATCAAGAGGGAAAGAAACACACAGACACAATGAATCGTCGATTCCCCAAAGAATATGGGAAAATATGGGAAGTGGGGGGGAAGACAAAAATCCTGAACATATGGGAAAATATGGTCAATCCTGTTATTTGTGTGTATTTATTTGTGTGTCCCAGGGCCCCTTCAGAGGAGGCGCGTGGCACAGTGGTGACCTGCGTGGGCCGCTGCCCGGGCGGCCTGGGCAGCAAGCAAAAAAAAAGGCCTCAGGACAGATCGGGAGGCCCCCCCGAGGCAGCCCAAGAGGTCTCCAGGAGGTCTCCCAGGAGAGAGCCCGCGGAGGCCCACCACTGATTGTCCTCAGTTTCAGAAGGATTCTGAGGTTCTGGCATGTTCGGGCTCCCGATTCCCAGGAGAGCCCAAGAGGCCTCTCTGGGTCGTCTTGTTGTCCTCTTGGGGCGCTTCAAGGCCGTCTTGAGGTCCTCTTGGGAGACCGCTGGGCAACAGTTGGATCCTCTTGGCCCGACATGGGGGCCTCTTGGGGGCCTCTTGGGCTGTCTCGGAGCTATCTTGTAGGCCTCTTCGGAGGCCTCTTGGGCCGTCTCGGGTGGTCGGAAACCCGAACAGGCGAGAACCCCAGCATCCTCAAACGCCCAACGGGCAATCAATGGTGTTGGCCTTCTCGGGCTCTCCAGGAGGGCCTCGTGGCGGCCTCTTTGGCCGTCTTGAGGACTTCTTAATCTGTCTTGAGGTTGTCTTGGGAGCCTTTTGAGTCATCTTGGGCAATAGTGGCGTCGTCTTGGCTGCCATGAAAGCCGCCCCGAAAGCCATGAGGCTCCCCAGACGGCCTCAAGACAGATCAAGAGGCCCTCGAGACGGCCCAAGAGGTCTCCAAGAGGTCTCCCAGGAGGGGCCGGGGAGGCCCAAGCCATTGATTGTCTTGATGTGCTTAAAGGATTACGAGGTTCTGGCGCGTGCGGGTTTTCGAGCGTTCAGGACATCCCAGGGGGCCTCTCTGGGCCGTCTTGTTGCTCCCTTGGGACGCTTCAAGGCCGTCTTGAGGTCCTCTTGGGAGACCGTTGGGCAATTGTTGACACGGGGGCCTCTTGGGGTCCTCTGGGCTGTCTCGGAGCTATCTTGTAGGCCTCTTCGGAGGCCTCTTGGGCCGTCCTGGGCGGTAGGAAACCCGAACAGGCGAGAACCCCAGCATCCTCAAACGCCCAACGGGCAATCAACGTGTTTGGCCTCCTCGGGCTCTCCAGGAGGGCCTCGTGGAGGCCTCTTTGGCTGTCTTGAAGACTTCTTGATCTGTCTTGACGTTGTCTTGGGGAGCTTTTGAGCCATCTTGGGGCATCTTGGTGTCGTCTCGGTTGCCTGACAGCCGTCCTGAAAGCCATGAGGCTCTCAATAGGGCCTCAGGACAGATCAAGAGGCCCCCGAGACGGCCCAAGCTGTCTCCAATTAGCCTTCCAGGAGAGCCCGAGGAGGTCCACACCATTGATTTCCTTGACTTGTTGAAGGGATTGTGATATTCTGCATGTTTTGGTTTTCTACCGCCCAGGGCAGCCCAAGAGGCGCCTCTGGGCAGTCCTGTTGCTCTCTTGAAGCGATTCCATGCCGTCGTGGGGTCCTCTTGGGAGCCCGTTTGGCAATCTTTGGGGCCCCTTGGCCCGACTTGGGGGGGCGGGTGGCCTCCTGGGTTGTCGTGGAGCCACATTGGGGGCTCTTGGAGGCCTGTTGGGCCGTCGAGGGCGGTCGGACACCCGAACAGACGATAACGTTTTACCCCCCTCAAGCACCAAATTGAAATCAATGCTTTGGGCCCCCTCGGGCTTTCCAGAGAGGCCCTTGGAGCTCTCTGGGGCCGCCTTGGGGGCCTCTTGGGCCGTGTTGGGGCCCCGTCTTAGGAGGCCGCTTGGGCCGTCGTGAGCCCGTCTTGGGAGGCTTTTGGGCTGCCTTGGGCCATCGTGAGTCGTTTTGGTGTTGTCTTGGTTGTCTTGGAGGCTGTCTTGGAAGCCATCCTGACCGCCTGGAGGCCGAAAAGAGCGCGGGCGAGCAATTTCAGGAGGGGGTCGGTGGGGGAGATCTACGAGGGACGCGCGCGAACCAGGGAGGGGTCGGCCCAAAGTGATATTCAGAAGCGCCCCCAGTTGGGACCACAGGAGCATTCTAACACGCCCCCTCCGAGCAGGCACGGTGGCGGATCATGCATCGTGGAGTCATGCCGTTGCTGATTCCACCCATCACTTGCGTACGCCTTGCTCATGTCTAAGTTTTCGACAGTTCTTTGATTTTTGGGGGACCGAGATCCTTCCATGTTTAATTGTGCCATCCTGGGCCTCTTCCTGGCCACTAGGGGGCCAGGAATATTTATAAAGGAGCACACTTAGAAATGAGCGCGATTAGACATGAACAGCGCGTACGTCATGGGAGCGACCGAGGAGACATAACAACCTGGACACTCCCGCCGCCGAGCCTCCTAGCGGCCCCAGAGAGCGGTGGTGCGCACAGGCCCGCTGCGTGGCTCCTCCCGAGCCAGAGCGGCTTGGGCCAGGCACGAGCCGACGGGCTGCGGTCCTCCTCCTCCTCCTCCTCCTCCTCCTCTTCCTCTTCCTTCTCCTCCTCCTCCTCCTCCTCCTCCTCCTCCTCCTCCTCCTCCTCCTCCTCCTCCTCCCTCCTCCTCCTCCTCCTCCTCCTCCTCCCCCTCCTCCCCCTCCTCCCCCTCCTCCTCCCCCTCCTCCTGGCCGAAGGCGGCGGGGTGCCGCCGCCGCCCCTGGGGGGCAGCACGGCTGCACTGGTCGCTCACGGCGCCGTCGGGGCGCGCGGCGGCGGCGTCGTGCTTCGCGTGGGCCGCGGTGGCCCCGTCGGTGCCCAGCTGTGTGCGGTAGGTTTGCGTCGTGTCGACCAGCGGCGACCCCAGCGCGGGCGTTCAAGGTTGAACGCCGCTGGCGACCCAGAATCGATCGACGTTGAACGATCGGACGTTGCGGCAGCGGCCAATCGTTCAAGGTTGAACGATCCCTGCGGTGTCAAAAACCAACGCTGGGGTCGGCACGACACGAACCTGCCGTGCCCTCCTCGGTCTTCAGGTCGGGGTCCAGCTGCAGCTCGTGCTGGCAGCTGTAGTGCCTGTTGGTCTCTCACGTGGTCCATGCCGTCGTCGGTCCCGATGGTCTTGCCCATGACGTCGGGCGCGGGCTCGGTTGGCTTGTCCTTCGCGTCAGACCTTGTCCACCAGCTGCTTGAGATATGCTGCCGCTGCTGGCCAGCTTCTCGTGCAGTTCCTGCCCATCCTCCTTCTCATCCTTCTCCTCCTCTTTCTCCATCGTCCTCCGGGAGTCGTCCCTTGCTCGTCTCGTCCTGTCCACATCGTCTGGGTCCTCCAGCCAGCGCCAGCTGATGTGTGTTTTTCCCTACGGCAGCCAGCGCCGCACTCGCTCGAAAGCCCGCATCGGCCCTGCCCGTGAGCGGACGCGGGCGTCAGCAAGCTTTAGTTGACCAGATTGGTCCCTCAGGATTGCTCTTCATAGTCTTTTGTAGCCGCCAGCAGCGCCTCAAGCCTTGCAGTAGATCTACCAAGCGTTTCACATGAGACTCGCAAGCTGCCGAGTCATCGCTCGCTCGCACTCTCCTCCTGCTCCTCATCCCCCTTCTCGTCCTCTTCCTCCTCCTCCTCACCATTGGATTCCTCATCTCTCCTCCCTCCTCACTCATCAGGTTCCTTCTCCTGCTCGTCATCAGCATTACTAGCATGATGTTCCTCCTCCTCCTCCTGCTCCTCCTCCTCCTCCTCCTCCTCCTCCTCCTCCCTCTCCTCGTCATCATCATCATCATCAGCATCATCATCATCATCACCACCATTATCATCACCATCGTCGGCATCATCGTCATCATTGTGATCGTCACACTCGTGGCCCTTCCCTCCTGCCCTCGTAGTCGTCAACACCATTGGTGTCGCCACCAGTATCCTCGGGGGAAGAGGCGCTGCATTTCAGCCGCGGCGCCGCCTTCCTGGACGACGTGTCGCGCTTCCTGGAGGTTTTTGAGCGCCACGGCGTGGACCCCCTGAGAGGAGGAGGAGGCGGACGAGGAGGGTGAGGAGGGGGGAGTCGGACGATGTCCAATGGGTGAGGAGAACGAAGAGGAGGGGGAGGAGGAGGAGGAGGAGGAGGAGGAGGAGGAGGAG